AGATCAATCTTGATTCTGAGATCAGCATAGCATGTGTAGCATTTTTCTAATACCACATTATACTATTCATGTTCCAATTAGAGATATGATTCTGTTTCTTGAGAATTAATTCAGTAACTTCAAAAAGAAAGGCTTTCATCTTCTTCTAAGAAGATGTAGAAAGGTAATGCTATAAGGAAAACACAGAAACAAAATCCCGAAAAACAAGTTTTCTACCATAATTTTTGTTGCTTTCCTTTACAACATTCCTATTTAAATGCAGATTGTAATTCACATCTAAGTAGAAGGTAGAGTTTTTTAGCTATTAAAATGCTAATGAGAAGGTTAACTTTAAGTCAGAAACTATTTTTGAAAAGATGGGAAGGCTGGAAAATTCACTTTAAGGTCATTTAAGATTTTGTCAGGAAAAAGAAAAACCCTAAATTTATTATTAGAAAAAATATGCACAAAACATTGGGCAATTATACATGTGTGTGGCTCAACATTACACTAAGGGACATAATATTTCATCTTGGTGTTGTAAAAACTAACATTCTTGAGTGCACTTGTATCTCTGGATAGCTTCACCTGCAGCAGGGAGGGGAAAATGACAGATTGTACAAATACTTCTCACCACTGGGCCTACTCACTGGAATGTGATGGATCACACACGGCCCTAACACAGGATGTACAGAATGGCTGCAGATAGATTTGAGACTGCCTGAAAATTTCCTAAACTTTTGTTTTTTCCAGCAACCAAATTTTAAATAGTGACTCATATTCTCTTCCAAACTGATGCTTTGTAATAGTGTTCTCATGCCTATTAACCCATGATTACAAGATATGCCTCTAACTGAATTCAATTAAAAAGTCCTTGTAGTTATTGAGAAAAAGTTGAATGCTTAGCCCCAAGGAAAATACTAATCCTATCCTCTCCAGAGTGCAGAAGAACACTGGGGAAGAGGGAGAGGAAAGAATGTGAGAGTCAGAAGACCCATAGAAGGGCTGCAAAATGCCACTGTCTGGACAAGATGCCATTTCAGTGATGAACTCGCCAAAGCTATGTATTGATTGTCCCCATGAATGAGCAGATTAACAAACAGGCATGGATTTGGGAAGGACTCAGAGAGCTGTAGAACTCATAAGAACAAGTATAACTAGTAGGAAACCAAAGTTACTAGCTGATGGTAGAAATGTTTCATATTGGTCCATTTGTGCTATTCTTTAATATATCTTAGCCTTAGTCCATTTTCTGCTCCAATAACGCAATGCCACAAACTGTGTAATTTATAAGCAACAGAAATTTATTTGGCTCACTATTCTAGAGGCTGAGAACTCAAAGAATATGACATTAGCACCTGATACGAGCTTCTATGATGTATTACAGCATGATGAGAAAGGTAAGTGGGGACTTGGAGAGATGATTCAGAAGTCAGAAGCACTGGTTACTTTTCCAGAGGACCCAGGTTCTTTTCCTAGAACTGACATGGCATCTAACATCCATCTGTAACTCTGATTCCAAGGAATTCATCACTTTCTTCTAGCTCCTGTGGCCACTGTATGCACATGGTGCACGGACACACATGTAGACAAAATACATCTATACATAAAATAGAATAAGTTCATCTTTTGTTTTAAGAAAAGGGAAGTGGGTATATACTCAATAGGACTTGATAAGGATTGGGTTTATCCTTCTATTAGGACTTTATGCCTGCCAATAATTAACTCACTCCTATGGTAAATGGAGTTATCCATCAATGCTTTATAATCTCTTGAAGTCATCTCTTAATGGCTTTACAATGGGAAATAAATTTCAATATTAAAAATAGAGGAGACATTCAAACCATAGTAATGTCAGTTCAAGTTTTGTCTTTCTCTGTCATGCTTTACTTTAGTCCCATGTGTCCTATCTCTGTGGAAATTGAAATTGTGTAGTAAATCAGAAAAATGAAAAATGTGAGTCACCAGAAAACTTTTTAACAAACTTCAAGAAAAAATTGAAATTCATCTTTGAATATGAATACAGAAGCTTTTTCTGTTATGAAGACAATGCATTATTGGGCTATTTATCCTCAAAGGTTTAAATATATAACTGCATATACACTAGATGCCCTGTTGTGTTTTCTGTGGCTGTGACAAAAACAGCCTGGGGAAGGAAGGGTTTACTCCTCCTTTGAAGTTACACTCATAAAGGGAAGCCAGGAGATTATCAAGGCAGGAACCTGGAGGCAGAGACTGAAGCAGAAGCAGTGGAAGAATGAGATTGACTTGCTTCCCATCATTTGCTCAGTTTGCTTTCTTATACTCCCAGGATCAACTGTCCAGGGGTGGCACAGACATGCCCACAGGCCAATCTAATGGGGTCATCTTCTCAACCAAGTTTACATTTACATTGAGACTCTAGGCTATGTTGAGTTGACAAAACATCAACCAGGACACTAGAAAAATCTAAAGCTGTTTATTTTAAAAAAACTTTAAAATTGTTGGGCAGTGTGATGCACACCTTTAATTCCAGAACTTGAGAGACAGAGGCAGGTGAATCTCTGTGAGTTAAAGGCCAGCCTAGCCTACAAAGCAAGTTTGAGGATATCTAGGACTGTTTCAGAAAATAAATTTTTTTGAAATAAATATATTTTTAAAAAGCTTTAAAATTACTTCAATTTATTTTTCACCATTTCTAGCCTCACCCTTCTCTTCTTATTTTTTTTAAATATTTGATTAAATTTCGAAAATGTTATACAAGGTATTTTGATCTTATTATCTCCTTCTTATCCTCCTAAGCACTCACAGATCAATCTCCCTCCTTGTTCCTCCACTCAACTTTATGACCTCTTTTCAATAACACATTCAGCCTATTGTGCTGCTTACTAGTATTTTAAGGCAAATACACCTTGAGTAATTAGTACATTAAACCAATCTGCTTAAATATCCAAAACCTCATTGGATCATTTCACAATTTTTAATACACATTTGAATATTTATTCTGTGTATAGTTTTAAATGGCAGTGATAAATAAAACATACACTGAACTAATCATTTGTTAAATACTACAATTATTTTATGTGTATGGGTATTTTCCCTGCATAAATATGTTAGAAAAATACTAACACTGATGGGCTTCAGAAGAGAAAAAATGCAAAAACTTGTAAGTTCAAATTAAGGAGTTCAAAGTAATTTCTGGGTATAGTAGGATAAAATTGGAGGATTTGATATATAGAAATAATATTCTACTCACCCACATTGGTGCTGAGTAATATAAATATAATTTGAAGTTTATAGATTACTTTGAGTTCTGGTACCCACAGTAAAATATAAAGTAAAACATATTAAACACTAATTTACTTTATTTAACCTAAGATATTAAAAATATTGCCATTATAATACAAATTCAACATTAAAAATGAAGAGATACTTTTTTGACATTTTATTCCAAGTTTTCAAGATTCTGTGTATATTTTACATAGAGAGCAGATCACATATTTTTACAGGATCATTTGCCCTATGTGGCTAGTTGTTATCATACTTACTAAGTCACACTTATAAAATTCATTTTGCCTGCTGTGCAGAAAGTAAATTGTTGAGGAATGAACAAAAGAAAGTGTAATTTATATCCTATGGAATCATTGCAAACTCAATTACTTTAATAGAAATGTTTTACCTATGGCTGTGTATGTTAGGGTTCTAAGATGAAGCTCAATGGATCAAATTCTAGGTATTGTCTAGGTTATTTTCCTTCCAGAAGCTCCAGGAAAAAATTAATTTACTTACCCTTTTCGGTTTCTAAAATTTACACAAATTTTCTGATTTTATTGTATTATTGCTCTATCCCCAAAGCCAATCTTATCAGACCAACTCTATTTCATTTGGCCATCTTTCTTGTCTTCTAATTTCTGACTTCCTCTTAGAGAGTCACTGGGCTCATCTATCTATGCCTGTATGATCTCTATATCTCCAGCTGAGTTGGTCAGCATCTTTAATTTACTACTGTAAATGCTGTATCTCTGAGGGGGAAAGATTTCCCCAATGGAAGTGCTACATCTCTGAGGGGGAAGATCTCCCTAAGACAAGTGCTACTGTTCTGAAGGGAAATGTATTCTAGCAGTTGGGAGCTAAGGAATACTATGAAGTCACACTGCACAACAAACCTCTTACAAGAAATTTTATTGGTGGAGACACAAGAGAGTAGCTACCTCTGCTCAAGTTAGAAGCAGCAGGGAACTGAATAAGAGGGAGACTTTATATAGGATTTCTTGGGGGAGGATGGAGTTGTCCAAGGTAGAGATTTCCAGGGTTAGGATTGGTGGGGTTTCAAGTCAAACTCAGGGATTGGTGAGATTTCAAGCTCGGGGACTGGTGTGGGAGAATGGTCTGTATTCTGTCAATCATATTTTAATAAAACGCTGATTGGCCAGGCAGGCAGTATAGGCAGGAAAGCCAGACAGGAAGTAGGGGTGGAGTATAGAGACTGGGAGTATTCTGGGACACAGGAAGTTCCTCTGCCATTCCTGCGCAGACCACCGAAGAGGCAACATGTAAGCTGACAGCTGAAAAAGGTACTGAGCCCGTGTGACTAACATAGATCAGAATAATGGGTTAAGATAAGTCATAAGAATTAATAAGTAGCCTGACCAAATGGGCCAATCAGTTTATAACCTTATGGAGTCCTGTGTGTGATTTTCTTTGTTGCTTGCCAGCTGTTGGGGTACCAGGAGGGACTGAAACCCCAACAAGCCGGCCCTCATGTTACAAGGGACTGATGGATTTTGGTACATTTTCATACCTGGAAATGGTCTCACACCTTTTAGCCTGCAAGTATCATTTATGCAACCTAACATATTCACATGTCCTGTGAAATAGAGTGGATTACCTTTGGTTGGTTGCTTTATTTTTCTTACTATCATTCTAAACATGAAACAATAGAAAAATTACTGTTTTATAGAAGAACTATCTTATGACAAAGCAAAATGCAGAATTATACAAAGTAGAAATTAAGTAGCAAACATCATCATATAATATATCACATGCTCACTTTGGCAGCACATATACTAAAATTAGAATGATACAGAGAAAAATAACATGACCTCCAGGCAAGGGTGACTTGCAAATTCATGAAACATTCTATGTTTTTTCACTTTTCTTTGAGGATGTGGTGACAGATAGGCTTCCCATGGGTCAGTGGATGATCCAACATCGATGTGCATATGGAAGTACTGATTACACTCAGTAGGTTGTTTTTTAAAAGGATATGAAATTAAAATGTTTTGGAGAATGTTGGGCCAAAATTATCTCAGGGCCTGTACCTCGAGGTCTGTAGGACAGAGAAAAGCCTGGCTCAAGTTTGAGAGATAGTCTCAAAGTTACTGAGGATGAGACAGCAAAATTTAGGTAGATGCCCCTCCAGCCAGAGGATGCCTGTTGGCTGTCTCTCATTGACTGGAGGTACCCCCATATCACACAATGTCACTTAGCCTATATAAATTGATGATCACACTAATAAACCGAGTTCCTTCTTTGACTTGACTCCCTATCATGTCTGATTTTCCTTCATCGTGGGGATGTGAATCTGATTGTTCTGCATCATGGGGCTTCAGAACGGGTGGATAGCACACTCACCTTTCCCTGGGGAATAAGGCTAAGGAGGACTGGCAACTGGTGCCAGAACATGAGGTGACTGGTCCAAGAGCAAAGCGTTTGTGTGAGTGGAACCCCACAATGGTTAATGCAACTTGACACAAAAATGACCCAGAACTTAAGGCACTGAGATATATGCTACTATCCCAAAGCCTGGAATTATCAGATCAAAATGCAATCCAGGTAGGAGAGGATATAATTACCCTGGACACCTGGAATCTTTTCTCATGGGACACATGGAACTGGGTGGAAACTGGTCAAAGAAAGGGAAAATCACTTTGATATACCCACACCACACACTATTTACAGCTCTTAAGGCATGTTTTCACCTCACTGCTCTGCCACCCCAAAGGTGGGTAATGAAAAGGTCAAAGATCGGGAGTGGTCTGAAGAATCCAAAAGAAACCAATTAACCAAAAGAATTGGAGAAAAGGAGACAGAAAAGCGGGAAGAAAAAAAATGAGTGCAATTTACTGAAGAGTGGTCCCAGGGGGAAGGAATAAGGCAGGCAGAGGCAAAGACAAAAAAGAAAGTAAATAATGCCTGTGACAAGAAGTGGTGGCCTCCTTATGGCCCAGCCACCCTGGAAAGGATTAAATGGGAAAGGGAAATGGGACAAATAAGGGGACTCCATCTTTGCCAGGAGGAAATGAATATACCAACCTTCGGAAAGAACTGCAAAGTTGAGACTCTCACACAGAGGAAAGTGGGGTGGAACATCCTGGTGGTCCAAATCTTACTCACACTGAGGACTATAGGGCTAAACTAAGGTTTGGACTCCAAACCTTTGCCTTTGGTCTGGCAAAGGCTACCCTGGGGGAATCCTGGTGTGGAAGGTCCTTCTGTCTATGTGTTGCTTTTATTGGTTAATGTATAAAGAAAACTGGCTTGGCCTATAGCAAGGTAGAACTTAGTTAGGTGGGAAAAACTAAAATGAATACTGGGTGTAAGGAGTCAGGGAGAAGCCATGGTGCTGCCACCAGAGACAGACGTGTTGAAAATTTGCCAGTAAACCACAGCCTCGTGGTGATACACAGATTGATGTAGAATATAAGAGTTAGTCAAAAATACACTTAAGCTATTTGCCAAACAGGATTGCAAATATTACAGTTTCAGTGTGGTTATTTCGGGTCTCAGCTGCTGAGCAGTTGAAACAACCAAACAGCCTTCCTACAAAAAACTGGTGCCCAACATGGTTGACTAACTCCATGTGAAAACCTAAGAAAGCTTGGAAAGGAATTCTAGACACTAAAAAACAAAGTTCTGTCACATTTTATTTTCAGATGGACTCTGCTTGCTAGCAGCAGGCTGCAGCTCCTTTAAGAGAGTCTTCCTGATTCAGCAGTAGCAGAAAAAAAATGAAATTCTGGCTTTCTGGGCTGTGCTGTCAGCACAACTTTTGGCTCTTTCAGAAGGCTAAGCATTTAAATGGGGTTTGTGAACAGAGTGCCAGAACATGCTTAATGGCAACACAGACTAGCTATGTGCATAAATATGGGCCTGTGAGCATGGCTCTCAGAGGCAGCAAACAGCTCTGCCATGCTGGACTGGGCAGAGCAAGCAGACAGGACCTTGGTTGCCCTAATTTGTGTGCCCTAACAAGGCTGCCACTTAGGCTTTAAGAAGTGCTTAGCCATGGTCAGAAAAGGATTACACATACATAATAAGGACAGATTCAGATATATAAGACCTGTAAATGAGACACAGTGTGTTTAACAAATGTACATAGGCTTGGGAGAGAAAAAAATGTATAGACAGTTATGAAAAGAAGTAAATGGTTTAAAAAAATAAAGTCTTTAAAGAAACATAGGCAGTCATAGATTAAAGAAGTAAAGATAATAAAAAACATTAAACTTGTAGAAAAAGTAATAAAGTAAAAAATAAACCATGGAAAGATGAAAAATACAGAGAAAGTCTGGATTATGTTTACTATTGTTTTTTCTTTGAATTTTTGACTTCAAAGAGATCTTTGATTCTCAGGGCTGCTAAGATAAACCTACATAAAGGTATCTTGACTTCAAAATTTGGATCTAAGGATATGTTGCTTTGAAAAAGAGATTCTTCTTTTGTTTCCACAGAGGATGAGAACCTGTGGAATCCTTATAGACTAATGTGGTTTGATGGACCAAGATCCCTTGAAAGGTCACCTTGAACACCCTTCATAAAATTACTTTGCCCAACAAAAAGCAGGAAGCAATTTGGAGAGAACTATGCCCATAGTCCCAAGTATTGTTTATAAATGTTTGTTTACATTTAAAGAGGGATATGCTATAGTGATTTGCATTGGTATAGATTTTGCTTTATTAATAGAAATTTAATGTCAATTTTGTTATATTACATATATATATTTCTGCTATTGATTATATGTTTATGTAGCTCATTTAAAAATGTAATGTATAATTAAGAAGTATAGGTTAATAGAGAATCATCTATGATAGTCAAACTTGTAGTCATGTTAGTTAGGTTTTCTAGATATACACAGATATATTTCAGTTAGATAGGTATCCTTCAAATCTTTCATAGGCTTTCAAAATAGAGCATTTAAAATGTTTAAGAATTTAAGACTTTTCATGACAGTGAGATACGTCTGCTCCTGGCAGCACAATTACTTCAAGAGGAAGATGGGCATCAAAGAGGCTCTTTATGGAGTTTGCTAGCTATTTGGGCAAGAAACTGCTCTTTCCTGGACTGCTTGATGGTATTCTGTGTGAGCTGGACATGTAGTGACCCACAGTGAAATGACTGCTGAACTTGTCTAAAGGTGAGATGGTCCTTCAGAGTTCCTGCTTCATTAAAAAGTCTGAAAGAAAATACTGTAGGACACAGAAGAAAGTGACTGACAAACTGCCAATATGAGTAGAACTGTCTTTGAAATTTCCTAATTTATAGAAAAGTCCGCTGGATACTATGGGCCTATAGGCTAAATATGGATGCCCCAATGGCACAGAAGAACTTTGGTGTCTGTCCAGGCAGTGTGAGATGTCTCTGTCAATTCTAGAGATTTGGAAGTTGCTTACAATGGACTTCCTGTTTACATAAGTAATATCATATCCTTTGGAAGTCTTTGATGGAGTTGAAGCATATGTAGTTATATAGTTTTCCTTAGTTATGATAAAAGATAAAATAGATATAAATATTGTAACTGTAATACTTGCTTAATAAATGTTTTGTTATATGTAATTTTCCTATGTTAAAGTTAAAAACTTCCTTTATATTTAAACAGAAGGGCTGAAATAGTGTAGGAGGTCCTTCTGTCTATGTATTGCTTTTATTGGTTAATGAATAAAGGAACTGTCTTGGCCTATAACAAGGAAGAATATAGTTAGGCAGGGAAAACTAAACTTAAATGCTGGGAGAAAGGAGTTGGAGTCAGGTAGAAGCCATGGAGCTGCTGCTGGAGACAGACGTGCTGAATCTTTGCCGGTAAGTCACAGTCTCGTGATGATACATAGATTTATGGAGATGGGTTAATTTAGGATATAAGAGTTAACAAGAAATACGCTTAAGCTATTGGTCAAACAGTATTGCAAATATTACAAGTTCTGTGTGGTTATTTGGGTCCGAGCAGCTGGACTGAGTCTGTGCTGCCAAGCAGCTGGAACAACCATGTGGCCTTCTTACAACAGGATTCCAATACGTTAAATAGATGGCCTTCTTTAAGGAGGTCTGTCACACTAGGGCAGAGTTCAGTAGAGTGGCCGACCCCCCAATTCCCATCACTTATCTGATAGTAACTGGTACAAGGGAAGGCTTTTCCACTGGGGTCCAATAAACCACAATTGCATCTCCATATTGGGACCAAGTTAGATAAGCAGGCCTGGAAGCCTGGACCAAGTTAGAGGAGGGACCTACTGAATCACCTAGCTGGCACAATGCAAAAACCAGGGTAGCCGCTTCCAGACTTTATTGTCCATGTACAGACTAGTCTTGAGAGGAAATTCCTCCCCCCCACCATGAGTTTAGAGACCCCTAGTCTGAGATGGTATGAACCAAGATGCTAGGATGGGTTATGCTGGCCTTAGGGAAATGTCCATGAGTCAATGGGTTGTGGCATTTCAGAATGTTGGGACCCAGTCACATACCAACCAGACTCTTGTGGTGGCCCTTCAGGCCCAGACCCAAGTTCTAGCCTCTTCTATTACCACAAAAGTAGAGGCCACTGTCCCCAGTTTCCCCCTCCCATTAGGTGGATACCTGGTAAGCCAGTATGTGTGGAGCAGTGGCCATTACCTGAACTTAAACTTCAGATGCTCAAGGGAAATGTATGTTTGTGACCATAGGCACATATTCTAAGGCATATTGGGCTACGACCCACTTAGGGGAAAAGGCAACCCATGTCAAAAGCTATTTCTTACAATATTTTGCTATGTTGGGACTACCACAACAGGTCAAGACCAACAACAGCCCCTGTTTTATAAGTAAAGCATTAAAAGAATTCTATTCTTCCAGAGATAGAATATATCTCATACTACCAGGATCCCATACAATCGTCAGGGT